AGCGCCTGCTACGATGTTAAGAGCATATTTGGATTAACTTATAAAAATTTTTAATTTTTTGTATTATTTATGAATGATAAATTTAAATTTTTATTAAAAAAAATTTAAAACTTATTGTAGGCATTAAAAAAATGTCAAAATTTAAAATATATTTACCCTAGTAAAAATCTTAGAAGTTAGGGTAATAAATCTTTAAAGAGATATTATCTCTTTAATTTAAAAAATAATAATAAATAAATATATTTAAATGACCAAATTATCCTTAAAGTGAAGGATATTTGAGGTCATTTGGCAACATCCTTTTGCCTATAAATAGGCCATCATTTGATGAAAAAAAAAAAAAGAAAAGGAGAAAGGGAGGAGAGAGGAAGAAGGAAGAAAGAGAAAAGGAGAGGAACAACAAGCTTCAAGCTTCCTCAACAATTCTCGAAGTTTCAAGCCCCGACCTCCTGCCAAGGGTAAGCTCCAAATCCATGTCAAGGAGGAAAAGTTTCAAGTGCAAGTCTTAAATCCCTTGAAGGACAAGAACAAGCTTAAGCCCTTGCCCTTCAGCCCCAACTTCCTGCCAAGGGTAATCTCCAAATCCATGTCAAGGAGGAAAAGTTTCAAGTGCAAGTCTTAAATCCCTTGAAGGACAAGAACAAGCTTAAGCCCTTGCCCTTCTAAAATTCAGCTGTTAATCAGAGGATTGTGCTGGTTTAGGACGTGTTACTGTTCAAAGTCCAAGCACGTGCACTGCAACACTCCAAATCAGAGATTGTTTTCCCATTTTTCTTCAAGTTTATAATAATTTGTATTTATTTTTTGCAAATCAATACATATTATTTGATTTTGCAGATTTTGTGACCACTACTAATAAGTTTTATTATGCATGAATGGTTTATCATTGAAAGTTCTGTTATGCTTACATGGTTTATCTGGCATGCTTAAATTTTTATCAAGGGCTATCCATATTTTTACTTACTGAGATATTTTATCTCACCTAATTTTTTCTTATCCACCATTTCAAGTAGTGATACCTAACACGTGGGGAGCCGGGAGAGTGACGAGCTAGACGACTAGGCATTATTTTGGATTTAGATCTTTTGGAGTTAGGCCGCTAGTCTCACATGGTTGACTCAAATAACCATTTTTGTGTACAAAGTTTCCTTGGTTATAGCCATGACCATTTATAAACTTTTGTATATCTAGAATAGTAAATTTTTTGGAAATGGAAAGTTAGATTTTACCTGAGTTTTAGATTTGAATTATCCAATTCGAAAATTAAGAACTCAGAAAGTTCCGAGCCTTGTGCATTTATGGGACTCTCTCATAAGTGCACAGCGTCTGCCACGTTCCCAGATTTGAGTTTTGGGGTGTGTCACGCTTTGAACCCAACACAATGATGAGTTGGCAAAGAACGGCATGGATTTAAAGACGAATACAACAAAACTTTGAACTCTATCAAAGACAGATAAGCATCCAATGGATATATGGATCATGAATGAATGAACAAGTGCATGGTTGCCTTATAAACTCTGCCACAAAACAAGGTTAACCAATAAGCAATGTCATGTTTAACAAAGCAACTGAAATCAAGAAACAGATTTTAGCAATTAACAGGAGTTAAAAGCTAGGACCATCAAAAGACATGTAAGAATCTCAAGAATTGCAACAGAATAAAATCAATGGAAAATATGAATGCTTGGAAGAATATTGGAACATAAGAGTGCAAGGTAGAATGCCTCAAAAATTCAACAACAAAACAACATTCACCAAGAATCAAGATCAAATTTAACTAAGCAGTCAAAATTGAAAGACAAGAGTTAACCATGAAACAAGCAATAGAATTCAAGGATTAGGTCCACAAAAGAGATTTCAATAATGACAATCAGAACACAGATTCAAGAGCAAATATAACTAGGAAGTCAAGATCTGGCACCCCAAGTAACACGAATTAATTAACAGAATAATCAATAGTGGGGATCAAGACACTTAAAAGATTACTGTCTTTTAATTAAAAAGGTAACAAAAATCAAAGCAGCTAGATAAAAGAACCATTTCTCTTGGAACAAAACTCTAGGGCATTAGGTACTTCAAAGACTACCTCTTCATCTCGTAGCCCATGGAAGCTAAGCAGATTTATAATCAAGTCATCCTAGACATCTTAGCGTCACATCACAGCTAAGACATCAAGGATACAGAGATTAACACTTGCAAGAGACAGGAATTTAGGATGCCTCATATAGGTATTTTCTAATAATCATCACCCCTCCTAAAGAGGTGTCCATATGAACAAAAATCAAAAATCAAGAAGATCAATAGGTATACTAAAACAAGAATTAGCAGAATATGCAGGATTTGACCAAGAGCAATATATAGAATTTGAGCAAGAACCAGTGTCAGAACAAGAACATTTTCAAGGACAACTCAAACTAGATTTCAAAAACCAAATATCAATTGATTTTCAAGAATAGATTCCAAGAACAATATCAGTCAATTTTCAAGAGTAGAATTCAAGCAAGAATTAATTTCAAGCAAGGTTTACGAACCCATTCCAAGCACAATGCCAGAAACAGTTTCAAGAAATAGTTTCAGACAAGTATCAAGATAATGAGGATTTCAATAATCATTATCCATTTCTGATTTCAGTTTCAAGAACAAATACAAAGCAATATCAAGAAAGATTCAAGACGGATTTTAGGAGTTTCAAGCAATTTCAACAGCCATCAAGAATGTAGAGATTAGCAACAATAGAGAGTTTAACTTTATAACAACTTGCCAATCTTCACAAAAACATGGCAATTTCAATTGAATTGATCACTTTTTTTTATTAACCCACACAGAAAAATGAGCCACATGAAAAGACCATGAAGCTCCAACTGGAAAAAGTGAAACTTCACTATAAGACTTTCAGAAAGATAATGAGCAGCGAAATTACCAAGTTATCCAGCTCTTAAAAAAAAAAAAAAAAACGCAACATTTGCTAAAATAGCCTTGAATCTCTCACAAAGTAAAGGGTTGCCCATCTTCCACTCGTCATGTGACAAACAGAACGAATTTCTCAATCAGCTATACTGTAGAGACCGACAAGATCAATAATAAAGATCTCTGCAACTCCCCAGATTTTACAATTGTGGCAAAAGAGCACACAAAAATTCTATTCAAATAACAAGTCTAAACACGTGCAAACTATCAGAAAGACCAAGTTTCAAAAAAAAGTCTTAAAAACATGATGGGCAAGATTAATTTCATGAATCTACACAGGGTATGAAGGCAGGAAACAAAGACAATTAGATTACCATCTCATCAAATGGATTAGAAAATTCAAGCAACATGAATCAGAATCATCCCTTATATAACCCCATCACTCGTCTCACCACGGTTCTAAAATCCATTGGCCAGCCAAGTTCCAAACTAATCCTAGGTATTCAATTAAACCTAAGTATTTAATTAAATCTACGCTTTGATACCACTCAATCTACTCTAATGCCACTCAATCTGGAGGTACTTAATTTAATCCAAAGCTCTTAATTTAAACCTAAGCTCTTAATTTCAACTTGGCTCTGATACCACTAAATCTGTAACGCCCCAAAATCCAAATCCGAGGACGTGCCAGACATCGTGCCAGATGTCATGCATTTGTGAGAGGGTCCCACAAATGCACAAGGCTCAGAACTTATCATACCACAATCTGATACCATCAAAATCTGAAGATCAAATTTTATAATTTGCTCTAATATCATAAATCTCCAATAAAGTCTAGTTTACAAGATCATGATTTATTTCTAAAATCTATATCAATCTTGAAATGGCTAGCCTTCTAACTCGTCGCTTCCCGTGATTTCCTCGTTCTCGATTTCGCTTCCTGAAATGGTGGACAAGGAAAACTATGAGATAAATTCAGTAAGTAAATATGGAGTGCCCTTAATTAAACTTATAGCATGCCAACAAGTGTAATCACGAAAAACGGATACAGTACGGGAACGAAATGGACGTCTCCTCTATAGGTCATGGCCAGTTTTATAAACCTCCCACTGACAGGCACACGATTTACTAATGTATAATCCCACTAGTAGGATAATAGAAACGAACCGGTTCTATTAGTAACATGTCGACATGTGCTAGCGTTTATAAATCTCCCACTAGCGGTCACACGAATAACATAACCATATTGGAGACAAAACAGGCAGAAGTTAACAGAAAATCATACTTTACAGATAATTTATAGATCATCAGGGCAGTTAAATAAACTCCAAACAGACATGCTCAAATCAATAAAAAGAATAATAATTTCATTTCAAATCAATCATATTTGTGTAAAATGGGTTTAGTCCCGCCACCACTTCAAAAACAAGGTAAAATGTACTTTTAAAATCGAAGGGCGTTACCATAATTTACTTACCTCAAATTGCATAAAACCAAAGACTCGATCTCGATGTTAAACTAACATAACGATCAAAAACCTAATCAAAATATTTCAGAATTAATACTATACTATCACAAATTCAAGTGAAATCATCCTTAGGACTACCCCTAATCACGATGCTCTTTCTATTAGTCTCTACATGATCGGACATCTTCAAATTTGTTCTTATATTACAACTAAACATTTAAATCTCCATTAATTGTTGGCCATTAGTGTGTGAACAGTATTCGTGAATAGTACCGTAAACAGTAACTGCACATCCAAAAATTACAAAACCATAGCTAATCTCATGGGATTTTCTCCAAAAATCACATTAGCCAACTCAAGCAATTTATACATGAATTAAGCTTAATTATGCTCTAATTACTACCCAAATTCATACCCATTTTTCAAAAAATTCGGACAGCACATGGGGCAGGAATTAAATGGACAAATTCAGCAATTAATTGATGAGATTTCAAGCTTGGAGGGGCTGTCAACATACCAGAATTTTCCAGCTGCAAACCGGACCTAGTAGGGGGGAGAAGCCGGAGGCAGTGCAGGGGAATTTAGGGGGATCTACCCAAAATTGAAAGAACCCAACTTAGATCAAAGCTAAAAGGAAGAAATCATGGCTGTTTCTTACCTAAAAATGCCCAGAATTCGCACCCACAAACCGGCAAGAGCAGCAACCGGACGGACAGAGCAAAGCAGATCCGGATTTTTGCAGAGAGGGGGGAAGGTTTCAAGGCTCCAAATCTGGTTTTTGAACAAGAAAAAAGGAGAAAAACACAAGCTTCTTACTGATTTCTCTCAAGGGAAGGCGTCGGTGGTGGCTGGGGCTCTTGTTCGATGCAGGGGGAAGAAAAGAAGAAGAGCAGAATCGGGCAAGGCTGAAGAAAGAAAGAAGAAAAAATACCCGGTCCTTATCCAAATTCTTTCCTCTTTTAAATCCCTCAACTTTTGAAATTTTGGCTATTAAGCCCAAAACAATAATTTTCCACAATTTAGTCCTTAACTCACACTTATTTATCCTAGAAATTTTTGGGGTATCACACATTATATAATAAATGTTGATTTTGGATTAGAATTTATTCATGTATAAATAAGACCATTTTATGTGAAACAAAATACAAGCTATAAGCTTCTTTCTTCTTGTTGGTGTTGTTCTTCCACCATTTTCTAGTTCTGAAAGTTTTAGTAGTGAGCTTCTATTCTATCAATTCACTATACTTTCATTCAAGATTGTAAGCCTATATATAAGCTAAGGGGGATTACAAGAATTATTGAATGGAACTAAGTGGAGTTATGAGCAACATTAAGTGGAGCCATAAATGAAACACAATGGAACTTGTAAATGAAGCTAAGTGGATAATGAAAGATGGAATATGGAAGGTGGAAGGTGAAACACTCGTCATTTGTATAATTCATAATAATTTTAAAGTAAAGAATATCACTAAAAATACTATTAACATCATAGCAAAGACTTTAAGGAATAGGTTCAAGCCTTCTTGTTGATAGTTTGCTTCAAATTCTTCTTCTATGCCTAAATTGACTAGTTCAAATGATTCACTAGTTTTGTCAATTTACATTGTTTCTAAGCAATTCTTTGCACTAACTAGTCTAAAGCCTTTTCAAGCTAAGCGACACCCTTTTCGTCCTTGGTGGGCCAAACTTCAACCAAAGATCATTAAACCATCAACCATGAGGAAACAACCCAATTCCAAACAAAAATGAAAACCAAACCTTAAAATCATCTCAACAACCAACAACCTCACACTTGATAACCAAAACTTAATGAACAAATTAGAAACTAAAAATCAAACCTCACATCCACTGACATAATTCCTACATCAATTACATGTTCCATCAAGGTAGAACCAATGCAACTCAACATGCACTGCTCAAACCCAATGAATAAGCAAAAGTAAATAAAACTAATAAAGATCTACTTGTGGTTGATCCCTAAGATAGCAATGCACCATTTTAAGATTTTAGTCATCAAACTAAGTAGACTATTTGCAACAAAAACCCCAAACTACCCTAATCCATATCAACATCAGAAAAGCTTATTCATTATATAGCAACATTGTTGTTATTGTTGCATTTTAAGTTCGTAGTCATTAAACCAAATAGATAACTTATAGCATAAAACCCCAAACAACCTAAATTCATATCAGTAGGGAAAGTTGATTTGTTGCAAATCAACATTGCTGCTATTGAAATTATATCAAAAAGGGAACCTTACCGTAATATAAAAAAAGTCCAAGGAAAACAATGAAGAATTGAAAAACAAACGTGTTAAAAGATAAACGATTAAAGGATAAGATCAATAAGATCAACTTGGGAAAATATGCATTACAAACCAAAGGCTAAATAAAACCATGTTAAGGCTATAAAAATTTTTAACCATGATTGTAAATGATTGTCATTTTTATATTTAATTTTAAAATTAATTAAACATACCAGTTCGGAAAATATGATTTTATCCCTGAATCCTATAACCTACAACCATTAATGCCCCTAACTAAATTATTTTCTAGCCAATATGCTCCAAACTTGTCAAAACTTGTTTGAAACACCCTTTCAATTAACACATTCCTAAAATGAATCAATAAGAACTTAGCTGAGTTGATATTCATTAACTTAAAAACCTTGATTATGGTCAAAGTGAAGAGTTCAGACACATTTAATATGAGCAACTAACTTCTCTGATATATCAAAAAGAAATATAATTGAAAAAAAAAAGTAATAATTGAGCTTAAAATGATGTTAAAGTCCAACATCCAACTTGCATTCCTATGCCCTCAACTAACATGCTATAAAGTTGGGAGCATAAAGTACTGATGAAAATTGCCTAGTGCCAAAACTTTATAAGCGCATAAAGTACTGATGAAAATTGCCCAGTGCCAAAACTTTATAAGAAAAAAAATTTAAATAGGTTATAGACTTTTGTATGGAAAAATTAATTACATTCACTTAAAAGAAGAAATTAACGCTTTTAATTGGATTGTATAAAAAAAAAATAATTCAAACCTTGTAAAGATAAAAATTAGTAAATCTCAATGCATTGGCTATGATTTATTTAAAAATGTCTTTTCACAGTGTAGGCCAATAATTTTTTTATCATGTAAACTATTTGTGTTTGAGATTGTTTTTCTATAGTACTTGCATAGTTGTTTACACAAAAAATTACAAATTTTTATGATGATATCACTTGTTACATTATTTAAACAAGTGGTTATAATTAAGCCAAAACAAACTTGATACTATTGTGATTTAAAGTATGACAGACCACCAAGATGCATGTCACATGGAATGCTAAATTAATATATCTAGTAACAATCTTCTAATTATCTAATGTTATTTCAGTTAATATAGATAGTAACTATATTTTATGAAGAAGTGACCAGTTGTATTAAGCAAGTTGATAAAGTGGCAAACAAGAAAAAAATTTTGGAATGGATTTTGACCAAAGCTACTATTGAACCGTCCATCTAAACTAGAAAGTCTATTACCTTTTGCAACAAATGGGAAGTAGGCATTAACAAGCTATGTTGAGACATTTAAAAGAGAAAAACTATGAACATGGAAGACAAACTCAACAACTGCATCAGCTTCTTAATATGCTAGTAATTACTTAATTTAGTTTACAAATGTTAACTCTTAGTATAACTTTTAGTCACATTTCAGTTGATTCTAGTTTCTTAATTAGTTAATCAAGCTCTTGTAATTAGTTGGACATCTTTATAACATGTTGCAATCTTTTCATTTCAATCAAGGTGTCACATATTTTTTTAATTATTGTTTATTAGATGATTTTGGGATAAGTGTCATTTCCTCAAATACCTATTTATATGGCTTTCACTTTTCTCATTTGTGATTGCGTTAATTTTAACCTTATTTGCTTAAACATCATGATTAGTTAATTTTACTCTAGGTTCAAGCTCATATAATTTTATAGTTTCACAATGATTTAGTTTGATCTGCCAATAGTTTGTAATCAAATCTGTTAACGCTTCTAACTAAAGTTTCTTACATGGATTTTTCTTTGTCATTGCTCGTTCAACAAGATATGGATGAGAAATTTTTAGTACAAGTTAGGTACAAGTCATATTTGGTGTTTGAGTTGAAAATTTTTGGATACAACCTTTTAGACTTGATACTCAAATACTTAAAAACATATTTAGTACAATTCAACAATAATCAAATAATTTGCATGTATATTTGTATACTTGTTAAATAATATTTTGCTATAAATTACTATACAAATTAAAATAAAATGAAATATTTAAATTAAAATCTTATAAGAGGTATTATTAACTATAATTTGAACTTAAATAAAACTAATGAAAATTTAATAAAATATTATTTATTATAATCCAAACTTAAATATAAGACAACACAATAATAAAGGATCAAAAGTTGGTTTTTTGAGATTAGAGAAAAAAATCTATCTGTTTTAATTCTCTAAGATTGGAGATCTCAACAAGGCTCTACATAGAGGACCTTGGAATTTCAACAATTCACTGCTTATTCTTAAATGTTTTCAAGCCTCTTTAACAATGAAGCAATATAGTTTTTCTACAAATCCTTTTTGGGTTTGAATCTTTGATGCCCTTATTGGTATGCAGTCAGAGCAAATTGGACTCATGATTGGGAACTCTTTGGGGAAGGTTCTAGAATTCGACGAAGGTTTTTACAAGGCAATCAAAGTTCGAATTGATTTGGATGTGAATCAGCCTTTAAGAAGATTTAAAACTTCTTAGATTTCTATTACGAAATGCAAGAAACTTCGAATCAAATATGAATGACTTTTAGAGTTCTATTTTGTTTGTGGATGCATGGGCCACCTTGAAAATAACTGTGAAGTTGCCAACAGTATCAAAAATGGTGGAGGTAAAATTGTTCGTTGATATGGATTGTGGTTAAAAGATGAATTGGAACACTCATGGTAACTAGATGATCTTGATCTTTTAGATGAAACCTTTATTGCAAATACACATTCCTTAGCTAGAGATAAGATTGAAGGAAACGAGGAGCATCATGCGACTGTAGCTAACAGAGCAAGCCAGGTAGAAAGACACAATGATACTACTGCTGGAGATCTGAGGCAAACAAGACCATGACCAATAATGCAAGGCAAATGGAATGGAACAATGCTCCTGGTGTGGGAGAGAATGTAGTTGAAACAACTCAGCCCCCTAATACTATTATAAGAGACATGGCTTGGCAGGGAATATGGAAAACACTGATGGTTTGTTGGGTTTGATGAGTGATCAATTAGTGGAGATACCTTTAACCCTTGGATTTGATGGTGTTAAACAATTAACAAAATAAGGAAATTGTTCAAAAAGACGTAGGGGCAAATGGAAACGAATAGGACATGAGGTGGGGTCCTTGGTGCATATGGACAAACTTACTCAAGGAAAAATAAAGGGTACTACAACAATTTTGGAGGAACAAAGGGCTAATAAAGTGCTCTTAAATAATATAGGGGTAGCTATGATTCCTGAGGAGGTATCTGGCACTACTTTGACCATGCAGATGGATAATTTTCATCCATCTGCCAACTGTGGACGAACAAAGCATTGTAGTGCTAGGAGACACTACATCACCAAGTCCATTAATCTCCTATGCCAAGTTTGGGTGGTATAATAGATGTGATTACCAACAGTGTCAATAAGTTATAGTGCACTCTTTCTATGTTTTTACATAGCTTTATTGATGCCCCTATGATGTATAATAATATTTAGAGGTTCCCAGTTCTTAATTGTTACTATTTGTATGAAACACTTAGCTCTATATGTTAGTGTTAGGGGTCCATCTTAGTTTTTTTGTTTTTCCTTCTTAGCCTATATGACAAGATATAGTTTGCATTGTAATTGTCTTTCAATTATTAATGCAATTACACTTCTTATTAAAAAAAAACAAAAGCCTCAATTTTCATCTCCTTTTTTTTTTTTTTTTTTGTCCTTATGAAAATTTCATTAAGAAATCTTGGAATTTGTAGAAAACTATCAAAAGCACAATAGTATAAATAATGAGAACTATAACAAGCAAATCAATTGAATTACTCACAATTGGACTTATAGAATGCAATGAAAAGTTGAGAATCCTTGAGATCTTGAACAAGTTACTACTACATCTGATTGTGATTGACTATTTTTGTTAGGGTTTTCATTTAAATTTTATCTCTTTTTTATCGTGTATTTTTTATATTTTTATTTTTTAAAATCATTGTTATTGTTTGGATATTAAACTATTATCTATTAAGCACAATTTATACTAGGTAAATTTTTAATTATATAAGTACAAGTAATAGATTGGTTAAACAAGTTAGGTAAACAATTCTAAATCCTTATATTTATTACTTAACTTAATATTTATAGATACAATTTTTTCATACCCATTATTTACCCAACTTTCTTACTATATAGCATTTACATGTACAAGTAGGGTACTTGCAAGTAATGGATGTTCCCATACTCAATGCTCACCCTTAAACCTAGTTAATTTATATTTCACTTTTCTAATTTATCTTAGATTTTTAAATTTTTTTATTTTAAATTTTTAAACTTTTAATTCATGATAATGTTTTAAAGTTCGGGAGAAATGTCTAAAGTAAATCAATAGCACATTTTGGAAGGAAAATATCTCTTCTTTTTATAAATCAAGGCACAAAATTCTTTAAAACCAATATTTTTCAAGCTATCCTTATGGAAGTCAATCGCTTGAAAGAAAGAATTGTTGGGTAAATCTTTCTTGGTTCACCACAAAACAAATAGTATGCCCTGTGCTCAATCCGCTAGGGCTTCACTTAGAATTTTGACAGAACCATAAGTTAAGCCCCTGAACTAACCCTAGAATCACTATTAAGCCCTCAGACTTTAATTGGTGCATATAAGCCTCTAAACTTTGCAATCGAAGCAATTTAGCCCTTACTGTCATAGCCAACTTAACTACCATTAGGGGACTACCTCGTGTGGTGAAATATGGCTATGTCACGCCTGGGTGGCAAGGGATTTGGCATTTAGTTTGTC